TTGACTGGTCCTCGCACTTTTGACCAGTCCTCGAACTTACGACTGTCCTCACATTTTACGTTTTTGCCCTATCTTGTCACCATGGTGAAGAGAAGCAGTTGTGAAATGAGTGACATGGTTGTTAAGAATGCTGCATGGGCATAAATGTGAGGATGGTCATAAGTGTGAGGACCAGTCAAAAGTGCGAGGACCTGTCAGAAATGACTTTTTTCAGCCCTCTGGTTAGTCCTTTTGTGCATATGGACTACTCGGAGGGCTGAAAAAGTTATTTTTGACTGGTCCTCGCACTTTTGACCAGTCCTCGAACTTACGACTGTCCTCACATTTTACGTTTTTGCCCTATCTTGTCACCATGGTGAAGAGAAGCAGTTGTGAAATGAGTGACATGGTTGTTAAGAATGCTGCACGGGCATAAATGTGAGGATGGTCATAAGTGTGAGGACCAGTCAAAAGTGTGAGGACCTGTCAGAAATGACTTTTCAGCCCTCTGAGTAGTCCCTATACACATAGCCATGGCCACCCAGTCACATGACCAGCTAGCCACGCCCACCCAGTCACATGGCCTCCAAGCCACGTCCACACAATAAGTCACGCCCACAATGGTGTCCTTCTTACCAATGTTAAAATCTGTTCACCTTACCCTATACACATAGCCATGGCCACCCGGTCACATGACCAGCTAGCCACGCCCACAAAATAAGCCACACCCACAATGTCCCTCTTTACCAATGTTAAAATCTGGTCACCTTAATCTAGTTGAAAGACATTACAGAAGATATCATATGGATTACAAATTTAAAGTCATTTGAGGATTTTGTCTATATATGGAAATATCTTTTAGTGGTGTGGGCAGAAGAACAAAGATATTAAAATATTGTGAATGGTAGACCTGTAGGAAAAGGGGTGGAGATAGGTTAGGTTACTGATTGTTTAGTTTAGGAAAAGGGATGTTAGGTTCAGATATTAATATAAGTAAAAGATTTGAATTAAGAGATATATGCATGGGGGTGGAGGAAATGGGTAGATTATGAGTTGAATAACTGCTAAATTAGGATTTAGTATATAGTTTTATAGCTGAAGGTTGCTTTGAAATGTATAGTATAAGGGGGGTATAATAACAATGTTAGAAAGAAATGGTTAGCATGTGGGGGGTGGTGTAAAAGGATGGTAAAGTATTATCTAATTTGATAACAATGATTTTATTTTGAAGAAGCCATGGGGGGAGGGGAGGGGGAGGGGGGGCAAGGGAGGAGGGGGGGGGAAAGGGGAAAAAATCTGTATTTGAAAAACTTTTTCAATAAAAAAAATTGTACATGTCAGCATTCAAACTGCTTTTTTGCATCTTGAACAAAAAGGTAAGAAACTGAAGTCATAATCTAAAATTATTTACCCAGCTCCAGGTACATTAAGTCCACCCCCCCTCCGAAAAATGATTTAATGTTTCTAGCATGTTTAAAGAAGCGTAGTTCCTGAGCTGGAGCAAAAAAATACCAGGAAAAACACTGAAGTCAGACATTGGTGTGGAGATAGTTAATTGAACTATTTTTACCACTCCTTAAAAAATCTAGCAGAAATTATTTTGCTCAAACTTTCCAGATCATTTTTTTCTTCAACGTAATTAATAGCTGATCTGTCTTTGGCCACACATTGCTAATCTTGAACTTTTTCATCATTGTTCAATGATAAGTCAAGCACATTCTTCCTCTTCCTATCGACATTCTTTCAGTGTCTGAAGTGGCTTAGCAAGAGGACTATAGCTCATCTGAGCTGCTGCATAAATGTTTCTCCAGTTTATCTGAAAAAATCTAGAAGTGGCACACTCAGGTTCACAAGCACTGTGAAGCATTAAAAATATTCTTAAAAGAATCTAGATTGAGACTTTCCATCCTTCTGTATTCATTCAGATAATATTTTTTAAAACATTTATATTTGCTTCATTTTCTACAATTTTTTGGATAAAAGTTTTTCCCAGATTTTGTTTTTCCCCTAAAAAATACTAGTTTACAATTCTTGAATGAGGGTTTTCTGTCCATGACCCAAATACAGAATGTTAAAAATATTATACTGCAGAAATTATAAAAATCTCCATATGTGTACATGTTTATATGAAATAAAGACAGTTTAGCTCAGTTTTTACATCTAACCTGTTGAAATTTTCTCATGCTGAATATAGAGACGGGACTGATTTTACTGTATAAGTATTCCTGATAACAGCTTCTGGGTAGTAACTACGAGCTTTTACCACCATATTACTGCTATTGGTATTATTTCATTTTACTATAGGCAGTATATCAAAGGTCTCTCCTACTTTTATTCTCAGAACAAGCTTGTGAGTTTGAACCAAAGTCACTCCAGGAGTTCCCACCTGAAGAAAGTATCTGCTTTATAGCTATCCAAGTCCCAAACCAACACTTTAGCCACTGTTCCACTGCTTTTCCTTGATGGTAAAATTTTGCTTATCTCTGAACATACAAACTATAGTGAAAAGGATATAGTCTTGAACACAGACTGGAGTATTCCAGATTTAAATTATTGGGTGAGTCACTATTCTTCAATCTAACCCACTTCTGCTGTGACATTAAAATTGAATAATGTCAAGAATTTTGCACTGAATTTGTAGGAGAAATTTATACAGCTCTCCATATTAGTAGATTAAAACAGTTCATGTGGCAGACTATAAAGGCTCACACCACAACAGTAGACATTTTGTGAGAAGGCAAACAAGATTCCCCCCCTCCTTTCACCATACTCTCGAAATTCCATTTTTTTCTCACGTCACAAAGAAACAATCCACCTGGCTAAATTTATTACTCTTTTATTGAAGTACTGCTAACTCAGTGTCATGCATATAAAAAGTATATAAAACTATCCAACACTTCAAAAAAAAAAAAATTCAACACACCTTCAAAATTTCTTCAGGAGAGGAACATTTTAAGTGTGAAAGATGAAAGCCCAAAAAAAGAGGAGGATTTTGATATTCCTGGATGCTTCAATTATAGATACCAAACAGAAAAGAGGGTTTTAACCTATGGTGAGGTCTTAAGCAGTAGGATTCAGCAAGTGCAGACAATTCTTACCTTTTGGTCTTAATCTTTTGGGTCACAGTTACAAGCCTTTCAAAGAAAAAACAAAACAAAAACAGGATACTTGGGGTAGATGCACAACTACAAGCCAGTGAAATTGTAGATGAGGATTCATGCAGCCTATCCTACTCAACACTGAAGCACTGTCATTTTAAAACAATTAAAATTTGCCAGTATCTTTTAAAGTCAATCCAAATACAGCTTGTAAAAATCTATGCTGAACACATATATGGCATTAATGAATATGGGTAACCCTTCTCTCTTGAAAATGTAGAACTTCAGCTGGGGGTTTAAAAAAGGAAAAATTGAGTTTTTAAGGCAGTACAATCCCAATTACTGTAACTTTTTGCCTAGTTTGATTTTCAGTCTAGAGAGATAATACCAACTTGTAATAGCTGTCCAAGCATATTGATAAGAAAACAAACTGATATCCCAAAAGTGCAAATTCATTGATAGTTGAGAGTGGTATGTCTGGAACAATATCTCTCCTATGGGATAATGGCCAGGCTCACAGTAGGGGTAGTGAGGCAGAAGATTCTGGTTGGCTGAACTACAGGAATTGAAATCCTCACTCTCCTAAGCCAAATAGGTAGGTCATAATTTCCCGTTTGTTTAAGTGAAAAGCATCCCTGACATCTTTAAGCCTAATTAAATCACCTTTTGTCAGAAGAAAGGAACAAAATAAGGCATAGGTTTAAAAAACCAAGCAAGCTCTGCCAAGAGGCTTACAAGCATGTTATTTATGTTGTATTTTAAAGCATTAATTTGTTAGTGGACCAACCTAGAAACTTTTGTTTTTGATATGTGGTGAAAAGAGGGCTGCTTCTCCCAAAAGAATAATTGGTATTCGTTGTTAACTGCAGGTTCAAGCATAGGTTCCACCCTCTGGTGGAAGGGTGGAGTTGATAATTCTATTCCATTTGCTAAAGGTGGCAATAAAGATGTAATCTCAAAATCAGAAAGCTCAAAAGGAGCTTGCTTAAAAATAGAAGTATGTTTTCATAAATAACACTTCATCCTATAGTTCAAAAGCCTCTTTCTCCCAAAAGCTCATCAAGGATCAAATTAAGACTGTATCCCCCAGGACCTCTATAGTCCAAAAGCAGATGCCAATTAGCAACTCCGGAAGTTACCAGTCTGACAGGAAACAGCCGTGCTGTGGGAAACTTCCAATGAAATGACAGCAATATAACATCAAAAAAACTATGGAATACCAGTGCAAATCAAAACTCTGAGATGTAGATAAAGCCTCCTCTCCCCAAGATAGAACTGCATTACTACTATAATGAAGATGATTTTACGTGAATTGGATTCTCATACTGCACTCAGTTATTATTGTCATTTGTTAACTTTTGGCTAAGTGCAATATGAGAACTAAATTCTGGCTTAATGTAATATGTAAACCCAGCCCATTGTTATTCAGAAATGAATGGTAAAAAAATCTTAGTTTACAATTATGTACAAACCTAACCACTGACTTGAAATTATAATTCTTCTCAAATGATGGGACCGCTTTGTTTGAGTTATGACTGCTTCTCTACAAGTTCCATACAGTACTTCTCTGAAAGTTTTTCTATTAGGGTTTCTTCACACCTTTCTTCAGGAGGGCCATAAAATTATCACCATACAGCTAAATATTTACAGTATATGGATTTTCATTTGAGCATAAATAATGTAGAACTAAAGAATACCATCCACATTTCCACTTAAAGAAGAATGGGGACTTTCTAAATAACTTTGAACAATGAATACAGTAAGAAAACCGAAAAACCGAACCCCACTTGCTCTCATATATTTCAGCCATATATACTGTATTGTCTAAACCACCCAGAATTAAAAATGACAAATACATATCAGTTAAGCAGGGCCAATTTAACAAGAAATGCAATTTAATTCTGAGGTCAAAAAATAACTTACCTTTTTTTATCTATCCAAGAATGCATCACTACCAGAAATGGAGCCCCAGGAAATGGGTAAAAAGCAGGATGTTTTTGTGTGCTTGGTAAAATGCGCATGGCTTGCATGTGAAAAAACCGAACATGCATGCAAACATTTAAGCTTCGGCTATCTCACTGCCTGATGTTCTGTAGTTAAATCTCCAGGATCTTCCCACCCTGGCTGCTCTCATCCTCAGGACTGAGAGAGCCTCTCAGCACAAAGCTCTCAGCCTCTCTTTCAGATGCCTCTGACAGCCATTCTCTGACAAGTGAAAGCTCAAACTGCCAGCGGAGCAGTGTTTGGAAGGGAGGGAGGTAAAGAGATGAACGATTCTCACCATCTATCAACCTCAGAGCTATTCAGCAACCTGCCTGAATGCAGCCAACATTGGATTCTCCATGGTAACCAGAAAGTGGCAGTAGATGGGAAGAATGCAAAACACACACACACACACACACCCCACTACACCAGAACTGGTCTGAGAAAAATAGGATATAAACATTTCAAAGGTCGGCTTATATCTTCAGCCAACATTTTTATCTGTATATCTTCTCCCTTCCTTGCAGAAAAAAAATATTATGGAAAAGGAGGAAAGACATTCTGTTCAGATACAGGAAAAAAGCAATTTCCTGCTTTGCTTACTTCTAATAGAAAGTGAGCTGTCTCTTCAATTATTATTGATTATGTCGAGTTTCTTTTAGGAATAATCTAAAAGGGAGAAAAATCCCTAATACTTAGCTCTATCTATGCTTTGTTGATTCTCAGTGAAGTTAATTTTACAGTATCCGTCTAATCTATGTTGTAAAAAATAAATGGCTAAGAATCATAAACTGATGGTCAGGCATTTTTGCTGTAGATGGGATTATTACTTTATAGGTTTTAATACCATATTATTTCACAGGCTCTGTCACATGTTGATACTTTTCTTAAAAGATGCTGCGCAAGTGCTTTTCAGTAGTGCTAAATTAAATGTTTCTATAGATTTTCTTTGAAATTCATCAAATGCAGAGGTTTACAATAATTGCTTATAATATTCCAAACAATAAATTACAAAATATGTAGTTTTGGAAAGTAAATATTAAAGATACTGCAAATTACAATTAGAGTTAAGGCAGTCCATATATGGGACGCGGTAGCTCAGTGGCTAAGATGCTGAGCTTGTCGATCGAAATCTTGGCAGTTCAGCAGTTCGAATCCCTAGTGCCGCGTAACGGGGTGAGCTCCCAGTTACTTGTCCGAGCTTCTGCCAACCTAGCAATTCGAAAGCATGTAAAAAATGCAAGTAGAAAAATAGGGACCATCTTTGATGGGAAGGTAACAGCGTTCCGTGCACCTTTGGCGTTGAGTCATGCTGGCCCCATGACCACGGAGAAGTCTTCGGACAGCGCTGGCTCTTTGGCTTTTGAAACGGAGATGAGCACTGCCCCCTAGAGTCAGAAACGACTAGCACATATGGGCGAGGGGAACCTTTACCTTAGTCCATATTTGGATCACAAAAACAAAATCTATTTCAATACTGTATATGTTGATTAAAAATTGTTTCTATGTCTATGGAGATTCTCAATCATTCAGGTTCTGGTAGTCGCAAAGATGCTTTTCCAAAAGGCGATTTGACTTTCTTGAAAATGTTTTACTTCTTATCCAAGAAGCTTCTTCAGTTCTGACTGAATGGTGGGGAATGGTGGGGAATTCCATTCCCCATCATTCAGTCAGAATTGAAGAAGCTTTTTGGATGAGAATGGGCGTTGTACTTACCTGATACGCCCCTTCTCTGTTCTGCTGTCACGGCAGTCAGGCGTGGGTAATAGACAGGTGGCTGACCAATAGGACTACTGGAAGTCAAAGCTCCGCCCTTTCCTGCTTGGCTCCAGTTTTGAGGCGAAGGTGTCCAGTAGACTGACATGTCTATGGAGATATAAAAGAAGAAGTGAAAGAACCACCCTCCCCAGGAGCTCCCTCCTATACCGACCAGGGTGGGGCTGACTGCCGTGACAGCGGAACAGAGAAGGGGCGTATCAGGTAAGTACAACGCCCATTCTCCTATTAGCTATCACGGCAGTCAGGCATGGGACATACCAAAGCACATGTCCTATAGGGAGGGATCCGGTCGAACTCTCTGCAGCACCCTTCTGCCAAAAGCGGCGTCTGCGGAAGCGTAAGTGTCCAACTGGTAATGCTGAATGAAGGGGGTCACCGAAGTACAAGTTGCCGCCCGACAGACCTTGTCCAGGGAAGCCTGGGTGGCCCAAGCCGCTGATGTGGAAGCACTTCTGGTGGAATATGCTGTAATACGATGAGGAACAGGTAAGGATTAAGACTCATATGCCGTGGAGATTGTAGCTCTGAGCCAATGTCCCACCATGGTAGCCGTGACGCGAGACCCCATGGACGAAGGCTGGAAGGAAATGAAGAGGGCTTCGGATCGTCGAAACGACGAGGTGCAGGATATGTAAATCTTTAGAGCTCTGTGCACATCAAGAGTATGCCAGACTTTCTCCAGGTGATGGCGTGGAGAAGGACAAAAGTCTGGAAGGATGAGTTCCTGAGCTCTGTGGAAGGTAGAGTTAACCTTTGGAATGAATGCAGGTTCTAATCGGAGAACCACCCTGTCCTTGTGGAAGACGCAGAAATCGGATCGAATTGAAAGAGAGGTGAGCTCTGATATATGTCTGGTGGAGGTGATCGCCACCAAGAAGGAAACTTTGAAGGATAAAAACTTCAAATTGACGTCCCTGAGAGGTTCGAAAGGTGGTTTGGTGAGGGATGTGAGGACCTTGTTAAGGTCCCAGGTGGGGAACCTGTGAACCACCGGAGGACGGAGGTTGGTAGCACCCCTCAAAAAGGCACGAATAAGAGGTTCCTTGGATAGTGAGGTCTCGGGACCAAAGGCTAATACCGAGGATAAGGCTGCGACTTGGCGGTGTAGAGTGTTGGGTGAAAGCCCAGAGGCGAAACCTTCCTGTAGAAAATCCACAATTTGAACCACCGAAACAGATGAGGCATCCAAATGGTGTTTGGAGCACCAACGAAGAAAGGCCTTCCATGTTGAGTCATAGATACGAACTGTTGTGGGTCGTCGCGCCGCCAGAATAATGGGAATCGCGGCTGGGGACACGTTGGAATTGATCAAACGGAGCCGCTCAACCTCCAGACGGTTATATGATAAGACTGGGGTTCTGGATGAAGACCGTTGCCTTCTCGCAATACGATCTGATTGTCTGGAATCCGCCAAGGAGCAACCACTGAAAGAGATACAAGGTCCGCAAACCAGGGTCTGCCGGGCCAATAAGGGGCAAGAAGGATGAGTTCTGCCTTCTCCTGCAACAGTTTGCGAACCACCTTGGCTATCAGAGGGAGAGGAGGGAATGCGTAAAGTAGAAGACCCCGAGGCCGCGAAGAGCATCCACCGCCTCTGCTGTTGTCGAGGGAAACCGAAAATAAAAGCGAGGTAGTAGGTGGTTGTCGCTGGAGGCGAACAGGTCCACATGAGGGAGGCCGAATTGAAGGGTTATCCAGTGGAAGAGGTGGTGAGGGATGCTCCATTCCGTGGGATCCAGTTGGGAGCGGCTGAGAGCGTCGGCCTGGATGTTGTCCTTCCCTGCAATGTGATCCGCTTGCAATGAGATCAGGTGAATCTCGGCCCACAAACCCAGCCGAAGAGCTTCCTTCATGAGTAATACTGAGCGAGTGCCCCCCTGCTTGTTTATATGTGCTTTGGCCGAGATGTTGTCCGTGAGGACCAACACATCCCGACCCAAGACGCGAGCTTCGAAGCTCAGAAGAGCCAGATAGACTGCTCGAAGCTCTAGGACATTGATGTTGAGGGATCTTTCTTGGGAAGATCACCGACCTTGTGCTGTGCTCGAGCCGAGATGAGCCCCCCAGCCGTGGAGACTCACGTCAGTAGTGATGACGATTCGCTGGGGCTCGAGGAACCTTGAACTCTTGGCTACAGCCAGAGACGTCCACCAGGCCAGAGAATCGACCACATATGGAGGAAGCTGGACCCTCAGGGAGTGGGGAGATGATGGGTTCCGTTGGTAGGGCAGCAGCAGCCATTGGAGCTCCCGACTGTGGAGGCGAGACCAAGGAACGATCCCATAAGATGATATCATCTTCCCCAGTAAGGTGGAGAGGTCTGACAAGGAAGCAGCCCTGCGAAGCCGGCAACGACTAGCAAGGGAGGACAACTGCGTTGTCGATCCGGGGACAGGGAGACCTCCACTGTGATTGTGTTGATGACAGCCCCCAAATGCTGAATGTGGTTGGTAGGTACTAAGTGGCTTTTAGCCCAATTTATGGAAAAGCCATGGGTTTGTAAAATCGCAATGGTCTTATTGACATCTAGCATTGCCTGGGTCGGAGAAGAGGACAGGATGAGGATATCATCCAGGTAAAACATGGTTCTGATTGGTATAGAAGAAATATGAGCTATAAGGGAGGCCATGACTTTAGTAAAAACCCTTGGCACGGAAGGAAGGCCAAAGGGTAGGGCAGTATACTGAAAATGGCGTCCATTATGGTAAAAACGAAGGAATTTGTGATGGGCAGGCCGAATTGGAATATGGAGGTAAGCCTCCATCAAATCAATAGATGCCATTAAATCCCCTTGTCTGATACTCAGGAGAATGGTGTGAAGGGATTGCATCTTAAACTGGCGATAAACGAAGTGCCGGTTTAAGGACTTTAAATTAAGAATTGCTCTCCAATCCCCCGAAGCTTTGGGGACTAGAAAGAGACGGGAATAGAAACCATCGCCCCTCTCGTTGAGGGGCACAGGCTGAATAGCTTTGATATCCAAAAGGTGTTGGATGGCCGAATTAAGACGGGCAGTTTTGATGTGATCTCGAGAAGAAGGACATCTCAAGAAAAGCTTCGGAGGGGAGGATCGGAATTCAAGCGAAAGGCCGAAACGGATGGTAGACCTGACCCAGGCGTCAGAAACGGACCTATCCCATTGATCTGCAAAAAGGGATAGGCGCCCCCCTAAGAATAGATCGGAAGGAGAGTCAGCAGGACCTCTGGAAGGGACGTTCCCTGCCCCCCAAAAGGGCCGTTTGAAACCAAATCTGGAACCCTGTCTAACCTGGGAGTCCTGTTGATTTGAAGATCTGGCCGAGAAAGAACGCTGTGACCGGTGAGTTGGGAAGACTATGTCTGAACCCCAAAAGGAGGAGGGATGAAAGAAGTGTTGAGGACGATTATCTTGGCGACGATGCAGAGATGGTAACACTTTGCGGTGATCTTTTGTT